TGTTTATCTTTGAGCAGTGGGATTTGGGGGAATCTTTACTTTCTTCTTTATATTATTCACTGTATTTCAATGTTCTACAATGAACACATATTTTTATCATGGGATGGGGGCGTGGGAAGAGGTTATTTTCATAAAAAAAAATTCCACAGGAAGATGGAGTTTTTATCTGATAGGCATGTATTTTTGCAATAAAGTATGAGGCAAAGTCAACAGCAGAGAGTGGGAGGGAGAGAGTTGAAGAATGTGAATAAGGTAAGAAACAGTTGTTTCATAGAGCAAGGAATTAGAGTAAAGGAGGATTTCCAGTAATGTGTAGGGCCTAGTCCTAGTTGATGCTTATTAACCTTCCAGTTGTGTAACTGTCTCCAACATGCCTGAACTACACAGATGAAAGTAAGGAAGATATTTGGATTCCCCCAGCTGGGCTTCAGGTGAGGTGGGGGAAGCACTCTGTGGAGTACTGCCTTAGGGAGGTAAGGATATTTGCAAGAATGATCATGATAATAAAATCAAGAATTTAAGTGGGAAAGAGGGCAAGCAAATATTGGAAGTGAGTGATAAGAAGAGAAAGTGTGTTTGGGAGGAGGGAGAGTAAATTGGAGGATTCACGCATTCAAAGAATTGTTGCATGGGGAAATTTGAAGAAGTGAGCTGGGGAAGCTTGGGGCACAGAACCTGATATTAGAAATAGTGATATTAGAGGTATACATTCTGGCATGTTCTGTGATAGAAACATGTGACTGGGTAGCTGAGTTGTAATTCACTAACCAAATCACAGAAATACTCTCACCTCAGAGTCATGTATCACTTAACAATGGTGTATGTTCTGAGAAATTCCTTCCTGGGTAAATTTCATTCTCTAAGTATACCTAGCTGGTATAGCATCTGCCACACCTAGAATACAATGAGATGGCATATTGGGAGCACTGTTGTACATGATCCATCCTTTAGTGAAATGTTAAGCCACTCATGACTGCATTAAAACTACCATAAATGCAACTGTACAGTAATTGTGCAGATAAAGGGAACAAGGTCGAGTCTGAAACAGACCCAAAAATATAACACTCTCACCCACATGTTTACCCTTCAGTTGCAGACCCATTTAACAGTCATCAAATGTCTGTTATCTACCTCTCCTGCTTTACCCCCTATCCACTTGACCCCTTCATATATTCCTCTCTGAGCAAATATACATTTCTCCATGTGCACAACTTTCTCTCCTCCTGAAATGCACTATCCCCATTTCTAAAATTACATGTTGCCTGTCTTTTAAGCCCCAAATGTTAACCCTCAAAATACATGAAAACTTCTCAGAACTCCCTCATGTGAATTTTCATGGTACGTCATGCATACCTTTCTTAGGACACTTAACTAGTTCCTATTTTGTGCCTTTGTATTTAGTTGGACAGTGTTTTTCTCTGACTCCTTTAAGAGATAAAGATTAGATAGATTAGATTAGTAAAATCATCAAAGAATTTTCTATTCCATCTTTAAGCATAGCATCCTGTAAGATTATTCACTGTGTTAGTTGCCTAAGTATTTCCAGAGTGGTACATGTCATTATTTAAGGTGGTATACAGCCAAATATTTTTAACAGTTGGATACTTATTGTAATATATATATATATATATATACATATACATATATATATATATAAAATACTTTGTTTTCCATTTATGACAGTGGTAAAGTGTTTTATTTTTAAGTACATTTAAACTAAAAAGAAATTATATTTTTTAAATAATCAATGGAAGGGACCTCCCTGTTGGCACAGAGGTTAAATTCTCAAAATTATCAAGCTATTGCCAGCCACTGTGGCATGAGTTCCATCCTTGGCCAAGAAGCTGACCCACATGGCACAGCAGACTTCTCCTATCTCACCCACTGCTCCCCTCAGCAGTGTATTTCAATAGATCCACTTGTTCTGCTCCCCATTCTGTTTCTGGTGAATCATCTCACCCTTCTCCCCCAACCCCCCAACTATCTGGCCTGTGCCCTAGATATTGTATGCATAAATTTACCAAAAAAAATCAGTATAAGAATTAGACAAACCGGGAACTATTCATGGTTATATTTACCTATCTGAAGTTTGGGTAACACTTCACTAAATGAAAAAAAAAAAAAAAAAAGACTAGTGAACCTTATCATAGCACAATTCCCGCCTTCATTAAAGGTTTATTTAAACAGTAGTGAAGGATTTATTCACCTTTTCTGTTGACAATATTCTTTGAGATAATAATATAAGAATGACCCATCTTATAAAACAAAAATTTCCTACCTCAACACCCTCCAGCTGTTGTCCCATTGAAATATTCTCCTATAGCCTGTGTTTACTTCCTCACCTTCCATTCCCTCAACCTACTACACAATGGCTTCCACCTCCACTGCTGGACTGAAACTGCTCTTGAAATGAATTACCTACAAACTGAGAAAACTCTCTTCTGTTCTTATCTTCTTTGACTTTGTTCTCTAGGCAACATTTGGCATTGTTCACTGTTCCTGAAAAGTTCTTTCCTCCCCAGATCTCCACATTACTCTCCTGTCTCTTCAGTTATTTTATTTTTTTAATTATATATATATATATATATATATATATATATTACACCATTCTTCTACCCTTTAAATATTAGAGTTCCTCTAATCTTTTACTATAATGATTATTAAAGGAATGAGAAAAACATTTCTACCTAGTTAAAAAAGTGAAAAAGTACAGAAAACTAGTTTCCTGAACATTTTTCCAAAGAAAAAACTATGTATAAATACAACCTCTTTTGTTCACACAAATGTACAGCACCTATTGTCTTTTCTATATAATGAGTGTATATTGGAGATGCTATCTTAGCACATATACTTCTTTTTAATTACTGCTAAGTATTCCACTGGATATATCTTATTTATCTAGTACCTTGCTGATGCACACTACCCAGTTTCCAAATTTTGTGCTATTATAAAGTTATAGTAAACTTCCTTATACATATGTAAACTTTTTTAAGTTCTAATGAATAATTGTGAGATCAAAGAAAATGGTTCTAATTCTTGTGTCATATTGCTATTTACAAAAGTTGCAAAAATATGTAGCCCCATCATATATAAGACTGTTCGTTTCTCTCGCTTTTGTCAATGAACAGTCATTGATTTTTATTTTATTTTATTTTGGCCAGTCTGTAAAGAACTGAGTTCTCAGTTTTGGTTTGCATACAACAAGTGAAGTTGGGCGGTGCTTGATATTCTTTTTCTGAAAACTACATCCTTCAATAATTTTTCTAGCGGGTTATCCATCTTACTGATTTCTAAGAGCTCTTTGTGTATGAACGTTTACAATTTATTCTGCAAAAACTTTTCTATTCGCTCTCAAAGCAATCTTTAGCTCCACTACCCCACAACTTCTACCACATACACCATCTTCTGAATTAATGACTCCTAAATCCTGTCTAGCCCACACCTCTAGCTCCAAATCCCAATACCTGGTTATATAATTTTACCTATATGAAGTCCATCTCATGTTTATGTTTATGAACTCAGCATGTCTGAAGATGAAATGATCTTTCCCAAATATGCTTCTTATGCTCTATCTTAACTAATAATTTAAATAACACACCCACTACTTTCCCTCTTCCTACATCCATTTGATCAAAAATCCTAAAATATTTTGCCCAAATGACTGAAGTGCACTAATTACTACTAGCAATGTCATAGTGGTTGAAGAGCACAGGCTGCAGAGCCAGACAGGTTTGTATCCTGGTCGTGACCATTCTGTATTATGTCACCTAAATTACATTTCTTACCCAAAATTTTTCCCTTATTAAAAAAAATAGTAATAACATGTATCTATTTCAGAGGGTTCCTGCAAGGACTAAATGAGATTGTATACACAATATCTGCCATACAGCAAATTCTCAGTAATGGTAGCTAAAACATTACTCTAAGCTTTACCACCTTTTTCTGAACCATCTTCTTTGCTGCTGCTGCCAGCCTAACAGATTCAGCCATCCTGTTTACTTGGAATCCTCAAGTGACTTCTCTCCCATTTACACACACACACACACACACACACACACATACAATCTGACAGCATATACAGGGTCATCCATATGTTCACCACAGCCTTATATACTCTACCCTTTAGCCACATTAAATTACATGCCATATCCCTAAATTCAATATGCTTCTTCATACATACTTTTGGTTTCATGTATACTTTTTGCTGACAGACAAGCCCTCCCCTAAATTGTCTTTATTAAGTACCTATTTGAGACTCAGATAAAACATTATGCTTCCATAGAAGCACTTATACCTGCCCTAGTTTAAATCACATTATTTCAAGTTTACCTGGATGAATCCCCTTCGGCACCTGAATTGTGAATTCCTTGAGGGAAGGGACTATTTTGTTCATGTTTGTATCCCCAGCACCCTGCATAGAGCATAACATTTTATAGGAGGTTCACAAGTTTGCTTAATGTACAAATAGTTATTGATCTTAGCAGAGTTCTGACCTGTTCCTATAGCAGTTGGCATCTATACATATATAAGTCTTTTACTAACCCCCGACCACTTTCCACCCCTTCTTTCAAGCACTGTCAAACACCCCAGCCAAAATTTCTGTTGCCCAGGCAGTCACAGGGGTCTGGAACTTGTCCAACTAGAAGGGGTGGAACAGAAGACAATGGTCTCAGTGTAGGCCCTGACCAATGTCAGTGTTAAGATCAGAGTCCACCCCCAAACTCCAAGAAGAGGGTTGCTGTCTACTTATATTCAGGACCTAACCTCTAGTGTAGCAAAGGGAATATGTATCTCAAAAGCATTACTTTAAGGGTGACTAGGCTTTATGGCTATTTACACCACCCTCCTCAAACCCTGAGGCAATAAGCATACACAGGCACAAAAGATACATTTATGGTGATTGGAGCAAAGAATATTTCTCTGAAGCTCTCCACAGGCTCCATTCTCATCAGCTCTAGCAAGTAAAGAACAAGACATAGTTTCCTTTCCAGGTTTCTTTTAATAATTTTTGAAAAGTCAGTAGGCAGTTGTACACACAATTAGAAAGAGTAAAAAAAGAAAAGGTAGATTAGAAACAGCAAAAACACATCCTTCACTCCACAATAAATACAGAGCTCTACTAGTGTTCTCCTACCAACATACCATCAGAGGTAACTCTTGGTGGGATCAGGAATATTCTCCATTATTGTGCAGGGAGGTCCAAACAGCATTCAGGTATAGTGATGTCAAATCAAGTGTGTTCAGGAACTATAGTTCAAGGTCTACAGTTTGGGCTCTTGACTTGAGTGGGGGATGGTCACTCCTAACCTCTTCCAGGCTATGCTGGATCCCATAGCCAAAGTAGATAGCAAACCCTAGTTGGAAAAAGTTGCTATGAGATGGAGAAATAGTGACCAGTGGAGGCTTAATAGCTCAACTAGAGACCAAGAAGGAAAGGAGGTAGGATAGTATAGCCAAGAGGCCTGGTGTTCCCAAATTGATACCTACCAATCAGCATCCAGACCCCAAATCTGGCCCAGGTGCCAGCTGTCATCTGCATCATAAGGTAAACATTCACGAAAAGGCTCAGTAGTGGGAGGAGTGGCAAAGCAGGTACCTGGGGACGAAGCCAAAATCTTTGTAATATCACAAAGTGACCTAGTTTTTAAAGAGTCCTAGTCTGGACCTCCCTGGTGTCACAGGGGTTAAAGTCTCAGTGCTGTCAAGCTATCACCAGCCACTGTGACATGAGTTTGATCCCCAGCCAGGGAGGTGACCCACGTGGCCAGGAGACCTCTCCTGTCTCACCTGCTGCTCCCTTCAGCAGTGTATCTCAGGATATCCGCCTGCTCTGCTCCCCACTATCCCTGGTGAATCCTCTCACCCTCTGTACCTCTGGCTTACACCCCAGTTCTTGTATGCATAAAAAATAAAAATAAATATTTTTAAAGTAAATAAATATTTTTTAAGTAAATAAATAAATAAATAAAGGTTCCTAACCTACTCGGGCAGGCAAAGGGAGGCCAATTCTTACTTAGACTATGTACTTCAGGCCCTCTCATTTAGTGTGCTTCATTTATGACTCCAAGGATAAACAGTTTGTGAAATGGAGCAAGAAAGGAAGTGCTGAGGATTAGAAAAGTGGTTGGGTCTAGGTAGCTTCTCTCTCCTTCCCTATCTACAAACCATATACACATTTTTAAAGATTTATTTATGCATACAAGAGTTGGGGTGAGGCTCTCCCTGGTGGCACAACATGTCAGGATGCAGTACTGCAAGCTAGCCAGGTCGCTTCAGTGCAACTTCGATCCCCTTTCCCCAGAGGTGATCCACATCGTGCAGCAGACCTTCTGACCTGCCTGCTGCTCTCCTCAGCAGTGTGCTTTGTCCATCTGCCTATTCTGTTCCCCACTATGTTTCTGGTGAATTCTCTCACTGGCCCTACACCTCTGGCCTGTACCCTAGTTCAATACGCATAAATAAATAAATCCTTTAAAAAAAAAAAAAGAGGGCCCTCCCTGGTGGCGCAGTGGGTTAAAGCACTGCGCTAAGAAGCTTAAGCCACTTCCACATGAGTTCGATCCCCGCCTGCCCCGGAGGTGACCACATGGCATGGCAGACCTCTCCTGACCTGCCGCTGCTCCCCTCAACAGTGTACTTCGTCGATCTGCCTATTCTGCTCCCCACTCTGTCCCTGGTGAATCTTCTCACCTTCCGCATCTCTGGCCTGTACCCCAGTTCTGTATGAATAAATAAATAAATCTTTAAAAACAAAAAGAGCTGGGGTATAGGCCAGAGGTGTGGGGAGGGGGCTCAGGGGTGAGAGGATTCACCAGAGACAAAGTAGGGAGCAGAACAACTGGATTGACTGAAATATGCTGAGGGGAACAACAGGTGAGACAGGAGAGGTCTGCTGTGCCACATGGGTTAGCTCCCTGGCTGGGATTGAACTTGTGCTGCAGTGGCTGTGGATAGATTCAAAGTGCTGAGATTAACCCTTTGCACTACCAGGGAGGCACTATGAAACCTATATTAAGACATTAAGATATCTGGAGTCTATTCTTCAAGATAAGCTGATGGGGAAAGAAAGAGAGAGCTTTTACCTTAAAATGAAGGGGAGTAGAGCTCTGTGGCTGTCTCCAGATGACCCCAGTGATCCCGGTAATGAGCATTAGGAGTAGCACAACCACTGAAATCCATACCGGGTCTCCAGAAAGCAGCGGAATTGGCCACTGGGCCAGCACCAAGCCAAGAACAGTAAGCAGTAGTGCTTCAAGAGTCAAGTCGAGAAACATTAAAACCAACTCTCAAGATCAACCACATTAAGATGTCAGCTGTCCCTCTCCCCCATTCCACTATCATCTCTAGTTCTTCTGCCACCAAATGACACATACACCCTCTTCACCCATCATGCTGACATCAAAGGCACCCCAATTTAAACCCCACTGCTCACCAAGCAGTGAGGAGCAAACATAGACAACTTGGCCAGAGAGTGGAGTAGGGATGGAGTTGAGTGGACAAAACAGTCCCTGTAGGGTCAGCTTCTCTGCTCCAGGTATTTTCTCCTCCTGCAACTCAACTTCATCTTCTCCATTCTTCATCTCCTGGTCAGGCTGATACCTGAGGCAGGAGTTAGAAGGCCATATTAATAACCATTAACCACCTTGCCATCTTTTCTCAGGCAGTTTAATCTTTCTCATCACCATTAAGGGTGAAAGCACTTTCAGGCAGGAAGGGATACCCAGATTCCTTAAAAGCCAGGATGATGAAGGCAGAGAACAGAGAAAGAAAAGATCCTTATCATTCATTATTAAAAAATAAAAAACTAAATCACAGTATGCAGAGGAGACCCACCTGAGTATGAGAACGCAAATAGCCACCAGCGAGTAAGCAAGCAGGGTCCCAATTGACATGAGGTCCACAAGATCAGATAGTTCAAAGAGGAATGCCATGAATGCTAAAATTGATGAGCAGAAAACAAGAGACTGATAAGGGGAAGGAAGAGCAAACTTAAAGGAGGTGGCAAAACTAGAGGAAGGGGAAAGTCTATTTTTCACCTGCAATGATGCCAGAGGTCACAGTGGCCACAACGGGTGTGTGTGTGCCGGGATGGATTCGGGCAAGGACACGGAACAGGAGGCCATCTTCTGCCATTGCATAGATCACCCGAGGCATAGGGAACATAGAGCCCAAGAGGCTGGAGAGCAGAATACCCAGAGGGGCAAGACTTGATTGAGGTATCTCCCTCAAGCTTGTGCGGTGAAGGAGTCTCCACCTTCCCCCTCAGAACCCTTTGTAAGGGTACTCTCTGATACTCAGTGCTAAAACTGGAGACTCTCAAGCCAAGCACGATCACTTAACACTAACCTGGTAGAAAGAGCACAGAGGGACCCAATAGCCACTATGTAGCGGGCAGGTGCCCATCCAATATAGAGAAACGCCTCAGGCAAGGGGCTTTCGGGTTGAAGCTGGTAGTAAGGCATCATGAGCGTGAGTGCTGAAGAGACACCAAAATATGCCAAAAAGCAGACGAACAGTGAAATCACAATGCCCATGGGAATGGAACGCTGAGGATTCTGGGCCTCTTCCCCTGCAAGAAGGAGGACAGTTTCTGAAGCAGAGAAGCAGGCTTGTGCCTCTACCACCACCCCACCACACACGCCCCCCCAAGCTGCATGCAGACTGAGCACACCCTGAGCCCAAGCCCCATACAGCAGGGAATTACTGTTACCAGTGGTAGCAATACAGTCGAAACCAACAAATGCATAAAAACAAGTGGCTGCTCCACGGAGAATCCCCTCGAAGCCAAAAGGCATGAATCCTCCAGAACCCAGAGGGCCCAAGCTAAAGTGGAAGAAGGGATAGAAAAGGTTGAGTTCAGTCAATTCTACACCTTTCCTCAAACTACTTAATAGCCATGTTGTCAAGGGCCTGAGCCCTTCCTCTTCACTCCCAAACCAGCAGTCTTCATTCAGCATGGCTCCCTTGCCCCTTTGCCCACTCCCCTTAAAGTTCCCCATTTGCATCTCATGAGAAAGAATCTCCTAACCTGTAAGTGCCATTGACTCTTTCTCCAGCACTTTTGTAGTTCTCTTTGGTGAGCTTCCAGTTCTGCAGATTCCCCTTGATGAAGCCAGAAACAATGACAAAACCGAGAACCAAAAGGTTCATCACTGTAAACACTTTGGTAACCAAAGCCGACTCACTAGCCCCCAGAGCCAGCAATCCTGTGGAAGAGAGGCATTGAGGACGATGAGAAAATCCTCTGTTCAGGTTTTGTGCCCCACCTTCATGTGTCCACCACTCCTTCCCAGCTCCTATTATCATGTCCACCAAGCCCTCCTCAGGATTAGTCCCTCCTAGTTTTGTTTGCCCCATCATCATCCTTACAGCTTGCCTCACCAGTGAGCAATAGCACAAGGCCCAAGGCAAAGAAGTCTGGATATTCCGCGAGGACCTGGGGCACATGCAGTGAGATGCTCCCCTGCAGGGCCTGGGAGATGTGGTTCCCAATCAGGTTGTCAAAAGCTGAGCTCCAGGCCCTGGCCACACTGGCTGTACCTGGTGGGAGAAACATGGGGTCAAGTTTCTTGTCTGCTCCCCTCCCTCCCTTCCTCCTACCTGTCTCACAAGAATCCCTGTTATTTTAACTTTTTGGTTGTTTTCACAAGAATCCTTGTTATTTTAAATTTTGGGTTGTTATATATATATTATATATATATATATATATATATATATATATATATATATATATATATATATATATATATATGGTGGGTATCATAACTTTTTAAGGATCAAAGAAACTTGGACTGAGAGGTAAGTAGAAGGAATAATTCTACCATTCCACCCAGAATTCCTAGCCAAAACTCCTTCGCTGGCTGTGCAGGCCCCGCCCCACACCATCTCACCTATGATGTAGGAAAGGATGAGGTTCCAGCCAGTGGTAAAGGCCCAGAGTTCACCCACAGTGACATAACTGTAGAGATAAGCAGAACCAGAACGAGGAACCCGGGCACCAAACTCTGCATAGCACAGCCCAGCCAGCACAGAAGACAGCGCAGCTACCAAAAAGCAGATTACAATGGATGGTCCTGCTTTGTCTTTGGCCACCTCGCCAGCCAGGACATACACGCCTGCGCCCAATGTGCTGCCCACACCCAAGGCGACGAGATCCAGAGTGCTCAGGCATCTGGCAAGGCGAGTTTCAGCCATGCCTGGCTCCAGTGTTCGTCTGCGTACCAGCTTTTGACCAAATCTGCGAAGTGCCTGCCACAGCATTCTAGCTGGAATAGCGAGGGTGCTAGGATCTGGTTAAAAAAAAAAAAAAAAAGGCAAGACAAAAGACCTTCAATAGGGCTCATTATCCCTAAACTCTGAAAGTGAATTACAAAAACCACCCCCCCCCAAGCCAAGGAGCTATTTGGGGGGGGGGGAGGATACTGAAGGGACAAAGGCAAGTTTCTTCCCATAACAATACCTGGCAGGTTTGTGGAAAAACTAATTTCAAAAAAGAAAGCCCTCTATACCCCAGCTGCCCTGAACCTAGTATATAGGTGGGTTTTCAGTCAATATTAGTGACTTCTGTAGCAGCAGGGAAACTATATAGGGCTGATACAAACAGAATCTGTGTCTGTTCCTTGGCCTCTGGCTCTTTGGGAATTAATTGAACTCAACCAAGGGGTGCCAGTAACTCTGGGAAAACCCCTTTCTCACACCCTGTATTCCTTCTCTGGGCTTGCTCTAGCGGTTTCAAAAGGCATGGTCATTAGGTCGTCCGGAGGTGGTGGGGGGGGGACGGGAAGCAAACCTCGCCTGCAGATCAAAAGTGAGCAGTGATTCAATTCTATCTTTCCTCACCAAGCCTACACCGCATAACTGGTGCTGCCACCGCCCAGGGGAGTAAGCAAATGTTCCCCCCACTTCCTCCCTCCCTGCCAGGCTGACCAGCAAGCATCAACAGTGAGGCGGAGCTTCTATATCTAAAGATTTGGAGACTAGCCCCAAGAGGGGCCCCTGAGCAGCTCAAGATTGCTCACACCAGCAAGGAGGGGTTCCACCTTATGCCCCCGACTCAGCTCCCAGATTCTTATGCCCCCATCCAGAAATGGTCCTGGCTGAGGTGGAGCTGCGAGCCTTTGCTCCCAGGGTTGGGGTCTCGCCAGCAACAGGTCATGGCCGCGTTGATGCAACTGCACACTATGGTTGCCAGAGAACCCTAGGTAAGCCCAGACCCTCGCCATCTCCCCCTTCACCCCCGCCAGACACACATATACACACACGTGTCGGCCCCCAAGGTTTACCAGCGAGCAGGTGCAAACCCAGGGAGTGGAGAGTCCCGGATCGGGTTCGTTGAGGCTGAGTTAAACCGAGTTAGGTTAGGGCTGCGGAGTTCAGTTGCTCAGCCTTCAAAGCTGCAGCTCGGGGTCGTTGCGCGCCAAGCGGCCCCTTATATACACCGAAAGGCGGAGCCAGTAACGTCATGAAATCCCACCCCCAATCCTCCTTCTCTACACACAACACACACCACACACACACACTCGCAGACTCCTTGGTTCTGCAAAAGGGATTGCGTGGGGCCTGAGACTGCTTGCCATTTGCAACACCAAGACGTGGCAGGGAGCTAGAAGGGGGCAGGGCATCCTTTTCCCTTGCTCCTAGATTAGCAGGACAATAAGAGCCTCTGGTCAGAGACCCCAAGGAATTTTCTACCTTTGTGCCTGGAAAGTCAGAAACGGTAACTGGCTGGGATGGGGGTGGGGTGAGAGGGGAAGAGGGAAATAGCACCCGGAGGCTCCACCTCCCTCTCCTTTAGCTTTCTCTCCTACCTGAGGTTCCCTCAGCCCTGAAATCTTTCCCAAGGACCATACAAGTTTATGGACGACCATCTGAACCCTCAGCCCTCACCTTGAACTGTGGGTGTTTCTAATATAGCCTGCAAAAGAATGGAAAATTATTGCAACTACCACCTGTACAGATAATCTTTTAAATTGAAGTATAATTGACATACATTATTTTAGTTTTAGGTGGGTCACTTAATGATCCTACATTTGCATACTTTGCAAAACGATCGTCATATCAAGTCTATTTACCATCTATCAAATTTGAAATATTGTGATATTGATTATAGGCCAATGCTGTACATTTCATCTTCTTGGCTTACTTATTTTATTTTACAACTGGAAGTTTGTGCCTCTTGATCCCCCTCACCTCTTTTGCCCATTCCCACCCCTCCACCCCTATAGTAACTACCAGTCGGCTTTCTATGATTTTTGTTTTTATGTTTTTATTTTTGTTTTTTGATTCATGTTTTTATTTTTGTTTCTATGATGTTTACTTTCTACATAGAAGCAACATCATACCGTTTTTGTCTCTCTGTATACAGATAATTCCATCTACATTCTAGGGCCCAGTCTATATTATATTTCCCGCTGCCTATAAATATGAAGCTAATAAATATGAGATTCTGACAACATTGAAATGTTGTAGGTGGGAGCTTATTTAATTCTATTTTACTGATGAGTAAGATAGGCTCTGAGGCTTGACTTGCCTAACATTACACCATAATTATTTATTCGTCACCTTGCTGATAAAAACTAGCTTGTTAGATTCAATGTTTGCCTCCAATAGGTACAGTGCTTAATTTAAATGCACAAGAGGAGGTGTGGCAGTAAACAAAGCCAAATGGGAAGACTCACCAACACAAAGAGGGGACCTTTTAGAGTAGCAGTTTCTGGGAAACCAAGAGAGCCCAAGAATTAAAGAACGTTAATACCAGGTTTCAGGACCATAATCCACCCAGACCAGTAAGTTCTTAGTCATATGGAACAACAAGGGTTATGAAGGCGTGCTTCTCCTCCACCAGGACATCTGAGTAATGTTAAAGGTGGACCTACAAATCCTTATTTCCTTTAAATAATCCACCATGAATATGTCACCCACAATTTGTCCCAAATATATGTCCTCTTTGAATTGGTATTTTCAGCTAGCTGAAACTCCATGTAGGCATTCTTTAAGTATTTATTGAGCACTGACTCTGTTTATAGCAGTTAGTACATTATGAAGAAATTACAACAGGAACATAAAATAAAATCCTTGCCCTTCTAACTAAATTTGTCAAAATCTAGGTAAAGGAAGAAAACACACAACGCAATTGATAGTATTACACAGTGATCAGGAGTGCAATCTTTGAAGTTAAATGTAAGTTAAATTCCCAGCTGGACAACAGGCCTTGAGTAAATTATGTAATATCTCTGAATCTCAGTTTTCAAGTATCATTCATTTTGTACCATGTATAAGTACTTTTCTCCTTCTTTTTTGCCAAATAAAGTTCCATAGAATGGAAATATCATATTTTTATTTTATTTTATATTTTGTTTTGTTTATCCATGAATCAGCTGAACAGCTAAGTTGTTTCCTGTTTGTTTGTTTTTATTATTATGAAGATTGCTTCTATGAACACTACTGTATTGGTTTTCTATAGCTATGTTTTAAATTTTCTTGAGTACATACCTAGAAGTGGAATTACTGAATCATATGATAACTCTGTTTAAACTTTTTTAAAAAGAATTATTCCTTGGCCCTCCCTGATGGTGCAGCAGGTTAAAGCACAGCACTGAGAAGCTAAAGCCACTTCCACATGAGTTCAATTCCTGCCTGCCCCCCCCCCCAGGTGACCACATGGTGTGGCAGACCTCCTGACCCGCCCACTGCTCCCCTCAGCAGTGTACTTAGTTGACCTGCCTGTTCTGCTCCCCACTCTGTCTATGGTGAAGCCTCTCGCCACCCCTGAGCCTCTGGCCTGTACCCCAGTTCTATATGCACAAATAAATAAATCTTTTTTTAAAAAAAAGAATTATTCCTTTATTGTAAGATACTTTACTTTTTTTCTTTTTTGGCATAGAAAAACTGGATTGTAGACCAGGGGTGCAGGGGTGTGAGTAGAGGGTGAAGAAAGGATACACCGGAGACAGAGTGGGGAACAGAACAGGCAGAGCTACTGAAATATACTGCTGAGGTGAGCAGCAGGAGAGACAGGAGAGGTCTGCTGTACCATATGTGGGTTAGCTCTCTGGCTGAGGCTCTAACTCAGGTTATCTCTGTGATAGTGCTGATGCTTAACCCCTCCCTAGGCCACCAGGGAGGCCCCTCTGTTTAAACTTTTGAGGAACTGCTCAACTGTTTTCCACAAAGGCTGCACGACTTCACATTCCCATTAGCAGTGCACAAGTGTTCCAGTTACTCATTCTCCTCACCAACTTGTAATAATACATCATTTTTTAAATCATAACTATCCTCTTTAGTGTAAAGGGATATCTTCTTGTGGTTTTGATTTGCATTTCCCTAGTGATTAATGATGTTGGGCATTTTTCATGTGTTAATTGGTTATTTGGATGTCCTTCTTTGGAGAAAAAATCTATTCAAATCCATTTTTAGTTGGGTTATTTGTCTTTTTATGGTTAAGTTTTAAGAGTTCCTTATATAGAAGATTTGTTAATAATTTTGCTCATCCTATAGGCTACCTTTGCACATTTTTCATGTCTTTTAATACCTGCCTAACCTGTGGTCACAAAGATTTACACTGACTTTCCCTCCAAGAGTTTAATAGTTTTTTTCTCTTTTGTATTTAGGTCTTGGATCCATTTGAGTGCAGACTGTGATGGAAGGCCAAAACCATTCTTTTGCATGTGGACATCAAAAGTTGCAGTACCATTTGATGAAAGACTATTCCTTCCGTCCCATTAAATTTGTCATAATACCCTTGTCAAAAATCAACTGATCACAAATGAGTGTTTATTTCTATACTTTCAAGTTTATTCTATTGGTATATATGTGTTTCCTTATACTAGTACCACAGTCTTGACTACTGTAGCTTTACAGTAAGTTTTGAAATCGGGAAATGTGTGCCCTCTAACCTTGTTCTTATTTAAAATTGTTTTGATTATTTTGGGCTCCCTAAATATTTGCACAGATTTTATGATCACCTTGTCAATTTCTGCAAACAAATTACATGGAATTTTGATGGGAATTGCCTTGATCCAGAGATCAGTTTGAGGAATATTGCCATCTTAACAATATCAGATCCTCTGAGCCATGCACATGAATGATTTTCCCTTTTTTAAGGTCTTCTTTAGTTTCTTTTTCTTAAGTTGCATCCAATTTAATTTCATAACCATAGTCAAGCTATCAATTATAGTGGCAGTAACTCCTTTTCTGTTGTGGGTTATGCTGAGTTCTGTTTTGTTCCTTTAGTGCAGTTAATACAGTCTAAATGCAGGGAGGGGACCAGGCCCCATCTCCAAGAAGAATAAAGTTTTAATTCTCATCAGGATATCTATAACAGGCACGGGTTTGTTATGCAAGAGGCTGTGGAGAGGGAGCTGTTCTCAAAGGAGGGGCCTGTCTTGCATGGGCATTTTGCTTAATGGAACTCCTCTCTAGCAGGAGAGGCTGGAAGGGACTGGACAAGGCAGTGTCATCAATACACCTGCTTATTTAGGAAGCCTAAGAAAGCTTCCTAAGTGACAGCAGCATGGCAGTTGTCAGTGAGAACAATGTGTCCAGCACTGGAGGCTAGTTGGTAAGCCAGCATCCTGTTGTATTTCTTTCAACAATACTTTGTGGCTTTTAGAATCTAGATTTTATGCTTTCTTTGATAAATGTATTTGTTAGTTATCTTGTTCTTTCTGATATTATTGTAAATAGGATTATTTTCTGTATTTCAGTTTGCTCCCTGGGCCTATAGTAATGTAGCTGATATTTGTATATTGATCTGGCACCCTGCAACCTGGTTGAACTCAATTATTAATTCTAATTAATGGATTCCTTTTGACTTTCTATAGAGAAGATCATGTCATCTGCAAATAGAGATAACTTTATTTCTTCACTTCTAATCTGGATGCCAGTATTTTTTTTTCTTATTTTCTGACTGAATTGCTTTACCTTATTTTTTTTTAAGATTTATCTTTATTTATTGATGCATATAAGAACTGGGATGTAAGCCAGAGGTGCAGGGGGTGAGAAGATTCACCAGAGACAGAATGGGGAGCAGAACATGTGGATCTCATGATAATGGGAACAGCGGGAAAGACAGGAGAAGTCTGCTGTGCCTTAAGTGGGTTAGCAACCTAGCCAGGATTAAACTCAGGCCTTCACGGTGGTAGCACTGAAATACTTAACCCCTAGGTCACCAGCGAGGCCCTGAATTGTTTTACCTTAAACTTCCAGTACAATGTTAAATAGAAGAGATGGAAGTAGGCATCCTTTATTGTTCCTGATCATCCAGGGAAAGCATTTGTAACAGAGTAATCCCCAGGGAAAGAGGAGGTTCCAGCTTCCCTGCCCACCTAAGGGAGGGTGGAGCTAAGCACTGAGCAGCAAGAAGCTAGAGAAGGACTCGGAGAAGAAAGAAGAGAAACAAGGAGACCTGGAAGAGGACATGGAATAGGGACAT